GAGCTGACCCTTCTCAGGATCAGGATCTGAGAGCATAACCAGACTGCTTCCCTTCTCAATCTCCCCTATATGTTCTTACCCCTCCATAATGGTTTATTGTTCTTCCTGATGTTCGTTGCGGAATATGCTGAAGGATACAACCCTTCTCCAATCAGCCTGCTCTAATTTCATAAACGATCTGGAAGAAGTGAGGTGGCAAAGTTTGCAGATGATACAAAATCATTCAAGATAGTTTAGTCCAAAGCTGTGTCCGAAGAGTTACAAAGGGATCTCACAGAACTGGGTGACTGGGCAACAAAAGGGCAGATGAAATTCAATGTTGATAAGTGTAAAGTGATGCACACTAGAAAACATAATCCCAACTATACGTACAAAATGATGAAGTCTAAATTAGCTGTTACTCCTCAAGAAAGAGACCTTGGAGTCATTGTGAAAAGTTCTCTGAAAACATCTGCTCAATGTCAGTGGCAGTCAAAAAAGTGAATAGAATGTCAGATACTATTGGGAAAGGAAGAGATAATTAGTCAGAAAATATCATAATGCCTCTATATAAATCCATGGCACAATCACACTTTGAATACTGAGTGCAGTTCTGATCACCTCATTTCAAAATAGATATATTAGAATTGGGAAAAGTACAGGGAAGGGCAACAAAAATGACTAGGAGTCTGGAACAGCTTCCATACGATGAGAGGTTAAAAAGATTGTGACTGTTCATCTTAGAAAAGAGATGAGCAAGGAGGGATATGATAGAGGTCTATAACATCATGAATGGTGTGCAGAAAGTGAATTGGGAAGTGTTATTTACTCCTTCACATAACACAAGAACTAGGGGGTCACCCAATGAAATGAACAGGCAGCAGGTTTAAAACAAACATAAGGAAGCATTTCTTCACACAATGCACAGTCAACCTGTGGAACTCATTGCCAGGGGATGTTGCGAAGGCTGAAAGCATAACAGGATTCAAAAAAGAATTAGACAAGTTCATGTAAGATAGGTCCATCAATGGCTATTAGCCAAGATGGTCAGGGATGCAATTCCATGCTCTGGGTATTCCTAAACTTCAGACTGCCAGAAACTGGGACTATATGACAGGGGATGGATCACTTGATAAATTGCCCTGTTTTGTTCATCCCCTCTGAAGCATCTGGCATTGGCCACTGTCAGAAGACATGATACCGGAGTAGATGGACCATTGGTCTGACCCAGTATGGCTGCTCTTATGTTCTAAATTATGCCTCTGCAGAAGCACTGGCTTTTCTTTTAACAACTGCTAGTTTTATTCAAATCCATTTACCACTCAGTGAGTGGCCCTGAATTGAATAGCCTATTTTCCCAGAATTCTAAGGTGCAGGGTTAAGAGGCACCATCTTGATAAATTTATTTCACAATAAAGCACATGGGGAAATTTTTATTCCTCTTGCCTCCACTGGATTATTGATGTTGTTCTCAATACTTCTCTGAAGGCCAAACTCTGAATACAGCTGGTGCAGGAAAACTCGATGGCTCTTGTCTACCGAGTCTAAATAGAGCCATTCTGCTTGTTTCTTTGCTCGATCAACTTTCTTCAATAGCTGTTTCTAACCTCCCCTCAGTATAGTCATGCTCCTTCTAAAGCTGCTATTCTGGTCTTTGCATTGTTTCCCATTCTGAATACAGTAAATATCACACAAAAGCCAAAGATCGCAGTGCAGGAAGTTTTGATTATTTTTTTCACGTTGCTTACTTTTCAACCATGTTCACAAGGCAATCGGGTCATTCTGAGCAGTAAACTTAAAAAAAAATTACTCACATTTAATTGTCATGACATTAACCAAATGCTGGCTGCCTTAATGCCCAGGCACAAGGCGCTCCAGCCATCAGTCTGTGACAGGGTAGAATCAATACCAATTCCCCAGCAAGCAAGGGAAGTGGTTCTAGAGTCAATCAAGAGGAGGAACTCTCATCACCCCAGTGAAAAAAGAGGGGAAGCTGCTCCTCCAAGCCAGGGAGAGGAGGGGAGCTGAAACCCAAGCTGGGGAGGTATGTTTCCTGTGGTGTATGGTAGCTTGCTTTGAATTACGGTTATAAAGAGTTGCTCCTAATAAAAGACCTTGCTGCTTTGTCCAGTTTCTTCTGAGTTGCCCCACCAGCTTCCTTCAGGCATTTTGTATGGTGCTCATCACTGTGATATCTGAGTGTCTTATTCAAGTTTGGCTATGGTTAAGCATTCCCTTTTCCCCAGGTTGTCCCCTACTTAATCAGGGTCTTGGCTTACAAGACTGTTTCCTGAATGGGGCATTTTGTTGGCCGATGTGGGACTGGGGCTAAAGCATTGAGCAGTGTCATGCAGAATGTATTTTTTTATCCATCTGTGCAGGATAAATGCAGTACAATTAAAGTGAGGTGCCCAGATTAACTGACTGCAATGTTTCCAGGGAGCAGACATAAACTGAACCTGGAACACTTGCCCCATGCTAGACTATGCTCCTCTTTCGTGCCAATCTGATGTACCCTGCAAGCTTATTATTAATTGTTTATATGCTAGTAGCTCTTTGAGGCCCCAGCCAAGACTTGTATCCCATTGTACAAGGCACTGTACATACACTAATAACAGACAGTCCCTGCCTCAAAGAACTTGTGATCTAAACAAACAAGAAAAAGGAAGTATTTTACAGGTGGGAAACTGAGGCCCAGACATAAGTGACTTCCCCAAGGGCACAAAGGAATACTGTAGCAAAGATGGGAAATGAATCCACATTGCTTGAATCCCAATCCAGTGTCTTAACTAGAAAACTGTAATTCCTTTGCTGCTATTGAAATTCTAGGTAAGCTCTGCTTTGTTATTTTTCTTTACAGAAATGAATTTTAAACTACTAAATGCATGAACAGATTTATAATAAGACCAGAATGGGAATTATGGTGAAGAGCTGAGCAGTGAAGGCGACAGAGATAAATGACCATTAATAATGATGAAAAAATACAATTGATCTTTTTCCTTAAAACTAAGATGAAGGATAGGAACAGAATATGAAAATTGGCAGTTCTTTTGTTTCAATGGGAGTTTTGCATGAGCAAGGAGTGTACATTTGGGCCAGCTGTTCATGGAATAAATTCATCTAGGCCAATTTAAACCAACTGAGAGGTCTGGTGCTTGGCTTTTAACTGATGTATCTGATCGGAACATGGCCAATATCTGCCACTAGAGGGCAGCATATACTTACACATTTAGGGGGATAATGTAGACAGCCTCTGTGCCCGGGCAGGCTGGAGATTTTTGTTATGAAATCCATCTTTCTTTATTATCACTGTGAGGCAAAGTTATAGGCTGAAGTGCCATTTGTTTTAGATTGGAATGCAAATTCCTGAGCCAGAGTCCTGCCCAATGAGAATCCTCTGGCATTTATATAGTCCAGAGCTAGGAGCTAGGAAGGACGTTTTCTTATAAATCCAGCATATTTTTTTAACATTAAAATTTCTGCCGATGAAATATTTGCTCTGTAGTGTGGGGAAAAAAGTTGAAATGTGCTTCCAGAGGAATAGAATTCATGGTCTCATTGAAGAATTGCCCCTCAGTATTCTGTGTATGACACAATGAACGGAACTGACCTCTTCTGACGCTGGAAGAAGTGTGGGCTAGTCTTCGCATGGATTGGGATTGGGAGCCAGGGACTTGGATTCTGTTTCCAGCTCTGCCCACCGACCTGCCACATGATCCTGGGCAAATCTGTCTGGGCCTCTGTTTTTCCTCCCAGACTGAGTGGCAGAGCAAATGGTGGTGTAAATGGAGGCAGGATAGTATAACTTGCACTAGCATTCAGTGTGTGTGTGTTTTTGCGCATGTGCAAAACAAGTGTGACACTCGTGTTGTGGGGGCAGGAAAAGCAACAGACAGGAGAGTGCATGATCAAGTAAAGGGAAGATTGTTAAACTTTTTAGGGCAGGGTCTGTAACTTAATATGTGTTTGTGCAGCACACAGCACAAATGGAGCCTTGATTCTGTGTAGGGCATACAGATGCTACTGGAATACCAATAGTCATTGCAGGTGAAATGCAGAATACTAAACTGATGTCTCCCGGTTCATCTTTGAATTAAACAATAGTAAAGCAAGGAAAATAATGTGATTATCCTGTATTGACTAAGTGTTGCTTTATTCCTGATATCGGATCAAATTCTGCACTGAATCATACCCTGTTTGTTCATGCAAGCCCGTTATCTTATATGAGGGTATAACTCAGCTGGCATTTCTGCCAATACTATTTTTATAGCCATCCCACAATATTCTAAACTATCTTAAAACACTCAAACAGCAACTATTATTTCCTATTTTTTACTATATGGAAGCTAAAAACATGGTACTGTTGAAAACTAGACAAAAAACATTGGCTGGTTTCAAGAAGCTCAGAGTCCCTGACAATAATAATACCTAGCTCCTCTGATAGCACTTACGGCCAGAGACCTCAGTGCGCTATAAAGGAGGTCAGCATCACTAGCCCAGTTTTACAGATGGGGAAACTGAGGTGCAGAGAGGCTTGTCCAAATTCACCCAGCAGATCAGCGGCAGAGCCAGCAACAGAACAGAGGTCCCCTGAATCCCAGTACAGTGCTCTGTCCACTAGGTTCCACTGCCTCTCTCTGAACATTTCCAATGTAATGCAAAAGAAAGTCTGACAAATTTGTATACTGAGAAGCCGAGTATTTGAGAAAATCAAATTACTTTGCATTCGACGCAAAAATGTTTTGATAGGAAGTGCTTTCCTTGAGAAAGGGCATTGTTGCTGTTATCAAAACCAATCCCTAGCTCACAGGTGGGGTAAGCCTTGTCTGTAAAGTGCTTTGGGATCCTCAGATGAAAGGTGCCAGGTATTACTGTTATTGCCAGAGGCGGGTGGGCGGGGGGAGGAGAGAGTGAGAGGCAGAGGTGCACATCCACAGACAAGCATATCCCGATAGTCAAATTACTCCCCTTTAAGTGCTGCCTGGTTACCATCTCATGAAAGAAATCTCCTGCATTCCTCCCCTTTAATCTCAGTTTATTGCTAGCACCAGACCAGTCTCTAATCCCCGCAGACCTGTAGGAGTGGAACAGGAGTCAGAACAGGAGCTGCTTCATCTGTGATCATTTGGGTAAGCGAAACATATTTTCTTAATAACCGTTTGCCTTCCTTGCCTGTTCTGTGCACAAGACTTTAGGTTCTGTACAGTATTTTCTGTTTTAAGATCACTTTTATTATGTCATAACAAAAGGAGTGGAGTACAGCTTTGCAGAGGTGGTTAATCTAATATTTCTCAGCTCTCATATGTTACACGTGTGACCTCATATAATATGGGTGGTACAGTTTTACTTGTAAACTATTTAAACTAATCTGTTTACCTGGAAAATGTGATTCAGCAGAAGTTCATCCCTGACTCCAAATTAATCCACTGCTTTGATATCAGTAGCATAGTTGGATGAATATAAGATGTTTAATGTAGGTTTGGTTTTAATGCATAACAGCTGGGTCTCTCTGCTGTTCACTTCCTCATTATGCTGTCCCCTAAATGTGTCTAACACTGTCTGTGTCTGTTCATTCATTTACATGCAGAACAATTATTTTGTTGCATTTTACAAAGGAAATCCTTTTGACCCTGTATTCCCACCCCATCCTCTTTTGTATGTACTTTTTGTTCTAAAGATAAAACCAATCTTCATTTCCCCCCTCTCATGCATTGTTGTCGCAAGATTATGAATCAAGTGTTACGGCAGTTTTGCTAAGGAAATTCAGAAGAAGAATGTCTGCAGATGGATCTGCTGCTGTGTGATACGAAAGCTGAACCAATTTCTCAGGGAAATATTTAAGCAAGATCATAACAACACATTAAATTCTAAGCAGTGATGCGTCATTCCCTGGATCAGACTGTACAAAGCAGCAGTCCGGTTTATTGCTCTAGTCTCTGAAAGAGCAAAAAGGTTAGGCATGACAATTGAAATTATTTGTCATTTACAACACAGACACTTGTCAGCCTGGAGTAGCAGAAGGGATCGATATTATACAGTCCTGCATGGTTAATTCATTCATTGTTGTGTGGTGGCTAAATACATTAAAATAATACTTAGCACTTCAAAAGCCTTTACAAGCAGTAACTACTTAATGAGTATTTCCATTTTATTATGCAAACTCAATATACTGAAAATAAAAAGAACGCCTATTGTTCTTGCATTGCCAAAGGGGTATGGAAAAGATGAACATAGAAGTCTTTTCTCACTCTGACATCTAGGATTCTATAAGAATGTATTTTCCAAGCACGTATTGAGTCTATTCTGCTCCTGTTCTTTCTTTCCCTGTGTGTTTTCCATTGATGCGAATGGAAGATACACAGAAAACAAAAGGATAATACACATACTAATAGAGTGTCAAGAAGAGATTGACAGAAGGAATATAAGTGTATGTTAAGTATATAGATATAACACATATATGCAAAATCGTTAGAAAAATATGCCAGGCCAAGCACAAAATCTTCTTGCCCAATTTTTACCATGATATTTTACTTCTCCATGGAAAAATAAAACTAACACAAACAAGTGAGTAGAATTAGTAAGTATTTATTTGTATTGCGGTAGTGGTCTCAGGCAAGGTCAGGGTTTGCACTAAGCACTGAATGAACTAAGTAAAACAAAGACAGTCTCTGTCCCACGCCACACCGCTTTCTAGGATTAGGGCAAATTACAAGAGGTGCATAAACAGACCAGTGAGGGAAGGGTGGAGGACAAGGTAAGAGTGAAGATAGGTGAATTGCATAAATCGCCAGCCGCAGGTCGGAGTCGTCCAGGGATTTTTGCAAGGCTTCTGTGTTGTGTGCAATATCCTTGTGAGACTAGTTCTTTAGTAAATGTCTGGCCGGGGGGAGGAAGACTTTTGAAAGTCTCTATGTTCTGCCATGAGACGAGGCAGATGGGCTCTTTGTCAAGTACTTACCCAGCCCCCATATCTTGGCACCCCATAAACATTCAGTGTATTTAGCTCACAGTAATGCCTCCTAGGCCACTGCTCCCCACTCTGGGGCAGGTAGGAGAACTGGGATGGGAAGTGACTGGCTCAGTCACACAAGCTGGCCTGTGGCAAAGCATGAAATGGAATCTGGATCTCCTGAGTCCCTGCCCCAACCCATCCCTAAAGCACAAGATCATCCTGCCTCTCCCCAGGCACAGACAGGCAAAAAGTAACTGCCCGCATAAAATAGAGGGGGTAGAAGGGGAAGCTAATCATATGATCAGATGAATGATAAAGGAATATATAGACACATGATTCCTCATCTAAAAACAGTATCCGTTAAAAAAACCTGTTGCAAATAGAATTAAGTATAACCCTCCCCCCTGGAAAGATCTAGTCTGAATGAGCAAACATCAGGCAACACAAAACTAGTATTCTAATGGGTGTAAGCAATAGAGAGAGTACATTGTGCACACAGATATTGACTTGATCTGTTAGCAGGGAGTGCTGGAGAGGGGCAGGGTATGAGCTCAGAGATGGTTTCACGTGTCATAATTCTGCAATTGCCTGGTAGGTTTCAGATGAGTACTCAGCCAGGGATCACACTGAGCCCAAGTGCTCTTTTGAACGTCACATGTTGGATCTCCTTTGTTTCTGGCTTGGGGACTGTCTCATTTGTTCTTCAGTGTTGCACACAGCTGGGTCCCAAACGTCCCAGGGAAGGGGCTCCCTTTCTCTTGCACAGTTCACTGCCTCACTCACGTTTGGATACTGTCTCCCATTTTTTTCACAAGCTGAATACAAGCAAGCCTGAACTGCTGGCCAGCGGCTTCCCCGCTGCTTCTCAGATAAGAACATATAAACATAAGAACATAAGAAAGGCCGTACCGGGTCAGACCAAAGGTCCATCTAGCCCAGTATCCTGTCTACCGACAGTGGCCAATGCCAGGTG